CTTATTCATGTAAGTAGGAGGGATAAGTGGTTCATTACAATATCAGTAATAATGGGACTCAGTAGATAGTTGCTACCCATATTGCGGAAAAGAGTCTTGACTTGGTTACTTCCTGATAATCATTGACTTAGTTTCTTTTATCTATAGTCTCTTCTCATTGGACACTTTGATGTTGTTTTATAGCGGCATCCTACACTGATAGCTCTGATGATGAAGTTTCTCCAAGAGAAAAGCAGCAAACTAATTCCAAAGGCAATAGTAATTTCTGTGTTAAGAACATCAAGCAAGCTGAGTTTGGGCGCCGAGAGATAGAGATTGCTGAGCAAGGTAAAGCTCAAATTGCTAAAGCTTCTCCCTGGGTGTCATAAATTTTGTTCCATTAGTCAGCAAATATCTTGCTGGCAGTAAGCTCTTGGAAATGTCCACAAATGATGTAAATTTATAAACAAGGGCAAAAGTTTTGGATCCTATTAATTAAGTAGTATTGTACAATCCTTATGAATAGCAAGAAGTGATCAGTGTGATTTTGTTTTTAGTTATTTGTTTAACACATTAATAGGACCTTATTCACATAGTTCCATTTTGAGCAATTAAGCACACTTTGGCATTGTTCAGTTCAGGTTGCTGGCATTCTTCAGATATATACTAGGGCTGTTCAGAGTCTAGATTCACAGATGAAAGATAATTTGGAGTATCTTGTTTACAACCTTTTAAAGAAAGTGCTTTTTTCTGAGTTCATACAGCTGCTGCCATGTAATTCCAAGAAGACAGATGTTTGATTTAAGGAAAAGCTACTAAACACATGTGCTTTCATTAATTCCCCAAATCACTTTTCCCCCTTCAAATTGCTGCACAGCCTTATTATGTGCTACATTTTGGATTCAGAGTGGCATGTTTTCCTGAAACCCACGAAATAAGCACTTTGCCTTATTTTTGGGGAGGTCTTATTATGTTTGAGTTCATGGTTGCTGCTGTGTTGCAATATTTTGGGGGAGGGTTTATTTTGGGGGGAGGGTTTATATTAGCGCATGTGCTCAAAAGCTCGATTGGGATTATTATCCAGGGAAACAGGGTAGTTGATAGTAAGTAAATGTGGTTTATTGTTGGAACCACAGACCATAATGAAGAAACATAGCATAAAATACAGTAAAATAAAATAATACAATTATATAATAAGAGTATTAAATACTAGGAGGCCAAAACAAGGTAAAGCCAGGGCTAAGATTAACGGCTTAAAAATTCTTAATGTTCTGAGGTTAAATGACAACAAACAAATTGGAAACCTTACTACTAACAGTGGGAAACATATCTACAAGAAGATAATTCAAAAGTTTGATGTCTGACTCCTTGAATTCACCTACCATCAATAACATGAGCCTAATCTCATTAATAGGACAGTGGAGGAGGTAGTAAATAATATCCTTCATTTGACCAGCACTGCAGAGAAACCCACACTATTCAACAAGGTGCTACACATCTCCCTTGAAGATATGCCATAAACATAGTCTGCAAGTTACAGGAGGCAAGATCTTTCTCGATGGAGCAAATTGTTTATTTCTCTTTCCAGAGCAATTGTTTTCTAGGAGCTTTTTACATACATCTAATTCTTTCTATGAACTGAAGATTATTGTTTGCTCAGTAATTGGCATGGGGGTTTGTTAAAGATACTTTTCGGTTTTTTTATAGATATGTCTGCACTGATTTCACTAAGAAAACGAGCTCAAGGAGAAAAACCTTTGGCTGGAGCTAAAATAGTGGGATGTACACATATCACAGCACAGACCGCAGTGAGTACACCTGTTTTTTCATTTGTATCTTAGTCTTTTATCTTTACTCTTTTTTGTCACCTTCAGAGGAACAAGGGAACTCATTTCTACAATGGGGTAATATAATTACTAAATCATCTTGATAAATATTTGTACTCTGCAAAGACAATTGGCCTTATGGAACTTCCTGGATCTCAAGTAGCTGATGATTTACTGTGGATTTTAACTAATTACTACAATTATTTGAATTGGAACTGCAGTCTTGAATAGCTCAAAGGACTGGAAATAAATGGTTTGGATCTTAGATAATCCTTTTCTTATATTCTAAAGGAGTAAGGAGTTGTGGCATCAATTAACAAATCTAGCCTAATTAAACCTCTAGAATCAGGTGGTATATAAATGAAATTAAACTTCTGGAATCTAATTGTTTGTGAACTTTTTCATTCTGAGTTTTTTGTCGTCATCCCCCAATCCAATTAGTAATTACTGAAGCTTTTTAATTTGATGCTGTTTGCTTTATCTCTTAGGTCTTGATTGAGACTCTTTGTGCATTAGGAGCTCAGTGCCGATGGTCTGCTTGTAATATTTATTCTACTCAAAATGAGGTGGCTGCTGCCTTGGCTGAGGCTGGTGAGTATCGACTAACTGTACAAATAATTCATGCTAGAGTTAGAAATTATGTATTCGTTTTTGCAATATTTACTCATTATGACCTCAGCACTTAAGATACATAGTGTACCAAGTTATAAATAAGATATTTAACTTTTTCATGTGCTAAAACTGTTTCCTGAAGTTTCTCACTAATAAGCTTCATATTTTCAGGAAAAATAAGTGGATTTCATTCAGATGGGGGAAAAAAACATTATTTTGAAGGAGAGTTTAATTAATTCCAAACTTATCATTGTAACAGACTAAGCATAGGTATGTTACCTATGTGGATGTGGAAGCTGAATAGAGAAAAAAACCTTTAATTCTGTGATTAAAATGACCAGCTAATGGATCAATGCTAAGTGATTAATAAGATACTACATCAAAATTGGATCTTGAGATATGGCTACAATAGTTAATACTATCTATCACAATACTTGCTTTCTAATTAGGAAGACACTGTTTACAACTTTATTATGGCATTAATCAAATATGCCATTGCAAGAACACAAAAATAAATAAATATGATACTTACAAAAATGATGGCAAATTTAGGCTTTTCAGATAATTTTCTTTGAAAAGTAGCTCAAAATATTTTCTCTATTTCATTAGTTATATTAAAAGAAATACAACTGTATTCCTCACTTTGTTTTTAAGATTGTAGAAAAAATACAGTACAGAGTACTTTACTAATATCCTTTTCCTAATATTTTTATAAATTCTCTCTATATGCCCAAGCTGTTGAGAAATCTGCCAGATCTTTTCAGAGAAACATTTCAGGTAGACTCCCTTGGATCTCTAGTAAGAGAATAGGTAACAGTAAAGGATACTTGTTAGCTTTAAATTATTTACTCTGTTCTGCATACATTTTTTCCTATGAACATTCATGTAACAATGAATATTTTGGTCTTTGGGTGCCATAAAATGTTTTATACCATTCTACTTCCTGCACATTCTGCCAAGAATCTGCTCTGATGGATTTTCTGAAAAACAAAGGACTCGTTGTCTGACCACTATTACTTATATAATTCTAAGAAAGCCTAAAGCCATCTGTAAATGTTTCTGATGGATTGCTTTAATATAACTTTTTTTTCCCAAAGGAAAAAAACACATGGTGCACTGTTCTGTTTTTAATTATAGTGGTCACCATAATGATTGGGATCTGATCAGTGGTCAGTTGCATGCGGTACACCCCGGTACAGGCGTACCGGAGCCTCCCTGGAGTACTGTACTGGAGGGTCCACCCACCCGCTTGAGCTCCTTACTGGTCTTTTAGTGTTTCTGTGCATGCGCACAGTGGGTACAGCGCCTGCACAACGCTCCACTGAGCAGCTGGAGCATTGTGGAGGTGCTAAGACACGTGCAGGGGTGCTGCGCACGTTCATGTGGATGCCGCCGGGGCCATTCCAACCGTACTGGTTGGAATGGGATCAAGAACCCACCACTGGATCTGATTCACACAAATTAAAATGGCCGATTAAACATATGACAAGCAAACAAATCACACAATGGCTTAGCATGATCTCTAATGATAGATTTTTATGTGTGTTCTGGTGATTAAAGCCTGGTTCATGTATAGAAGTAAACTATAATACAGTAACTTTTGACCAAAATTGAGTCGAAAATTTCTGTTGCTAACTGAGACATTTGTTAAGTGAGTTTTGCCCCATTTTACGATCTGTTTTGCCACAATTGTTAAGTGAATCCTTGCAGTTATTAAGTTCATAACAATGTTGTTATGTGAATCTGGCTTCTCCATTGACTTTGCTTGTCAGAAGTTTTTAAAAGATGACCCCAGGACACTGCAACTGTCATAAATATGAGTCAGTTACCAAGTGTCTGAATTTTGATCACATGTCCATGGGAATGCTGTAATGGTCATAAGTGTGAAAAACAATCATAAATCACTTTTTTAGTGCTATTATAACTTTGAATGGCCACTGAATGAATTGTTATAAGTTGAAGACTATCTGTATAGTTTGCCTCTAGCTTACTGTTCAGAAAACAGCAGTTAATGAATTTTGGCTTAGTTTTATATATAAACATAATATCAAATACATTTTCTAATAATCTGTTTATTTCAATTTTCTCAAAGCAAGAAAATCATTAGGCTAATTAAAGTAGGCAAATGTACTGTATTAACTATCTAGCTCTTGCAAAACATGGAAAGTATTTTCAACATTCATATAGCTAAAGTATGTGGAAGTAACAGCATGTTACATTTGCTACATGCCGGTAGTATGTTTAGCTAAGGCAAAATGTAAGAAGCCTTGCTTTTAAAAATTCATTTGGGCCTTTTTTGTTGTTTTGTTAGGTGTTGCTGTGTTTGCCTGGAAAGGAGAATCTGAAGATGATTTTTGGTGGTGCATTGATCGCTGTGTAAATATGGATACCTGGCAGGCAAATATGGTAATAGATCATTCCACTAAAATTCCACTGTTCTCATTTTTGTTGTCTTTTCCAAGAGGAGCAAAATGCTACTTCAGGAATGCCCAAGATTTTGGCACATTGAGTGGAAATATTGCTTTTTTCTTTAACCCACAGGAAACAATATACAGCAATCTCAGATGGTGATTATTTAACATGCAGAATATTTAAATCTAATCATTCCTGTTTGTACAAAACTAATTCCCCGGTTCTCTGGATTTAGGCTATTGCAGCACAATGGTGAATTTCTAGAGAACATTTTATAAAATGCATCATGTCAAGAGAACCTGTTCAATGTCAATTAGATGAATCAGTTAGATGAATCAATAATAGAATATCTGAATTAATTATATTTTCCATATTTCTAGATCTTGGATGATGGTGGAGATCTGACTCATTGGGTTTATAAGAAATATCCCAATGTATTTAAGAAGATCAGAGGCATTGTGGAAGAGAGTGTGACAGGTGTGCACAGGTAACAAAGAAGAACTTCTCTGTTCTTTAAATATGACGTTTTAGCTGTGTTGGGGCCTATTTATTTCTCTTTTGTAAGCACAAAATTCACTAAAGCTCACTATCAGAAAACTCTATAGCAGTGATGGCGAACCTTTGAGGCACTGAGTGCCCAAGGTGTATGCACCCATTGTCCGCCGAAACTGCAAGGCATGGGCGCATGTGCATCCGCACCCTGTGGGCATCCCCCACGCATGTGTGGCAGAGACCCAAAACACAGCTGGGGTGGCAGTGCACGTGCCTACAGAGAGGGCTCTGCGTGGCACCTCTGACAAGTGTGCCATAGGTTCGCCACCACTGCCCAGTAGTATAATAACTATTGACATGAGTGAGAAACAGGTGAAAAAAATCTATAGAGAGGAACAATAGAATGATGTTAAGTCGATATGTACATTTGCTTCTTATTTATTTCCCTAATAATACATGGAACTTTATATTATTTTAAGATAAAAATGAAGAATCTTTCTTTTAATTGCTTATACCACATTTTGGGTTTATGGTGAAGTAATTAACATGTTCAATTTAATATTCTTTTAACTTAAGAAATGGTTGGAGGTACTCTACTATGTTCACATTTAATTCTTTTTTACTCCTGTTCTCTTTCTCTTACAGTTTTAGTTTTAAATGTCTGTGGGAAATGCAACCTGTACTAAGTTTCCAGTAGTAACTCAGGGATGAATTGACAAGCATAAGACATTGTTTTATACCACATCTGACAATAGTGTCAGTTAGTTCAGTATCATCTACACTGGACTTTAGCCAAGGAAGAATATCTACAGCAGTATCTACAAATACTAAAGACTAAATAATTGTGTTATCACTGAGCTGTCACTCAAAATTGAATTAATGGATAAAGAATATGTTTCCTTGGGTGATGGCTGTTTTTGCTTCCCTTAAGGTAATACAGCTATTCTTTCATAAACTCAATATAATTGGCATTAGCAAAGATTTTCCTTAGATATTTGCTATTACTATCACTATTACACATACCACTATGTACATTAAAGCTTTAGTTATATTGGACTAAATAAATCTTGGAGATTTCATAATCCTTCCCTATTCTGATCTTTTAATAATTAGAATACTGTGCATATTCAAAAGATAATTTGTTAGAGTCCCATATCTATTGCTGCTACTTAAAATTCTTGAGCTTTGCTTCTAACAAAAAACTGTAATAATGTCTCTTTCTGTTCATTGGGTTTCTCATCTGATTTTTAATTAGGGAGCCCATATCTGGGCTGCAGAAATTCAAATGACCTCTAGATGGCAGCAGAACAATGTAGAAAAATGTACCATAACTGTTTGCTACTAACTAGGGGTTATCCAAATATTTGCAGACATGATATGATCATCGTACTTTAATTTGGAAATATTCCATCTTCCCCTCTTTTTTCAGATTGTACCAATTATCAAAAGCTGGAAAACTCTGTGTTCCTGCCATGAATGTAAATGATTCTGTCACCAAACAGAAATTTGATAACTTGTACTGTTGCAGAGAGTCCATCTTGGATGGGTGAGTTTGGACCCGGGGGGGGGGGGGAGAGCGCAATTGAACATTCAGGTCTTATGCCATAACTTTATGTTCAGTTTTATGCAGAAGTTTAAATCAATACACTGCTATGGTACATAGTGACTGCAAATTTTATTTTATTGAAGAATCTAAGAGAACAGTATTTTCACAATGGGTTGCTTTCTTTTTTATAGTCTAAAGAGGACAACAGATGTTATGTTTGGGGGGAAAAAAAAAAAAAAAAAATTTGGATAAAAACCGAGTTTTTTTTTGGCGCCCCCCCCCCCCCCCCCCCCCGGGTCCAAACTCACCCATCCAAGATGGACTCTCTGCAACAGTACAAGTTATCAAATTTCTGTTTGGTGACAGAATCATTTACATTCATGGCAGGAACACAGAGTTTTCCAGCTTTTGATAATTGGTACAATCTGAAAAAAGAGGGGAAGATGGAATATTTCC